TAGCTTGTTTGTCTCGCTAGCGCCAAGCTAATACATATAAGGTCGCTAACGCGAAGGCTAACAGGCTAAACTGAGGTTCTTCTTCCATGAAGCAGCTCTGTTGTCCTCCATCYATATTTTCAGTTACAGRCTGAGTCATTTCTACCTTCTCCTCTCTGTCAACGCTCTCTGGTTTCATTTAAAAGAGTCGATCATCCGATATTGTCCAAGATTAACCTTCAGGGTGGATATAGCTCGCTAGCAGCCTCGCAACAATGACCTATCCACGTCATCATTTACCCAGAGTGCTTTGCGTGTAAATAAAATGGCTCCGTTCATGTTAAAATATATTTTGACATTATATTTTTGGTCGTTGACATAATTTAAACGCAGTACTCATCAGACTCTACCGTGAACCATCTACGGCCCTAAAGCGACCTGTATTGCCCAGAAGAAGACGCGACGTCACACTCAGCACGCTATGCGATGTTATGCACGTTAGCATGTTTGTTAAGGTTCAGTCTTTACGTTTGATATTGCCGGTACGACACCGTGTGCATTTTTTGTACTTCAACGACATGGTTAGCTGTGCCCAACACTGGAGGTTGGGTTGCACAAACAACACCGTGCTAACCACCGTTGTTACTGTTGTTCATCTGCTCACGTTAAACGTAGAAATTCATTCCCTGCAGCTTTCGTGGTGCGCACCTAAAGCTAAAAAAAAGCTTTGGGGTCAGAAAAAACCACCACTCTTCTGGTGTACACGGACGTCTGAAACTCAACCGACACGCTGTTTTTTTTTTTTAATGGCGTTTTGTAAACAGGGCCTCAGACCGGTCTGTGGCGTTATATCTTGCTGAAATAAGCAACACCTTGTTTGAAAGCTGTACTTATTTCTCTAACATCTTGTGCCCAAAACCTCTTAGACAACACTTCTGGTGCTACGCTGTGATATTTTCTTGAGCACTTGTGAGGTTTGAGGACACGGCGAGGTATGAGGAAGGCGTGACACGACGGTGGAGAGACATTTCTGAAATTCCTCTGCGGAGTGAGGAGGATATTTAACGCTCCGGCCGCAGCAACCAAACRCACTGTCACCATCCGACCACGGACGGTTCCCACTTCCTGCCCAACCACCAGAACATACGACGGCACTTGAGCGCTCGGTGTCATCTTTATGGGCTTGTTTTCAGGATTTGAAAAGTTTACTTTGGTTCGAGGACACAGTTTCATCTCACGTAGATGTATCTTAGAAGAAATGTGGCACAGTTGGCTCCGCCCCCCCCTCCTCTCGGGATGGGATGGTGTAAAAATAAACACTTCATGTCACAGCCGAGGTCGAGTTTCTTTTCTGTACTTGTTAATGACTTCTCAGGCTCGTTCCAATCAAATCAAAMAGGCGTTAAAAGTTAAAAATAACTGAAATGTAAACGATTACATTAAACAGAAATGACATTTTTAAGAACGGGTGCCTGATTAAACTTGTGGATTGCCTTTTCCTGGAAACTGTTTCTATAAATTATTTATTCATACATCTAAACCCAATTCAGGCGGGACATGAAGATGACTTTATAGGAGTTTTTTGTTCGTTTTTTTCTATCTGGGATGCCCTTGCCAATTAGATCACAGGATTTTAACTTTGAAACCCCAATGTGCTTTTATTCTCTAAATCTATTATTTATATTTAAAAAAATCAGATAATGGTCGAATGTATTAAGGGAAACGTCTGGATGAACAAATCGGACAAACATAAAGCTTAAATAAAGTTCTTCACGCCCTTTGGGGTAATGTTGGAAACAGGATTCAACCATAGCGTAAAAAGTTTATCATTGAAAAATATCTATAGAAGCTTCAAAGTTGCTATTTTCATACATTTTGGTCTTTTTAAAATATAACAAATAAGGA